TTCAATGCTGGCCTGCACGCGTTCTTGTAAAGGTGGCTGAATGGCTTCGGACAAAAACTGCTTAATTGATGCACCATCGGCCAACAATTTTGCCTTGAGGCATATCTCATTTAGAGATATTCGTAGCATATCTGGGGTTGTATAGTTTGCCATTCTTTCGTATTTCTCGATTGAGTACAATCGATATGCGCATCCTTTACGAACTCGGCCAGCGCGCCCACTTCGTTGTTTCGCACATGCTTTAGATATGTCAACAGTGTCCAAGCAAGTTGATTCGCTTATCGGATCATAGCTTTGCTCCTTAACTTTGCCAGCATCGACAACATAAACCTACAGAAAACCAAAAAAAGTATTAATAAATAAACGCAATTAAATATCTTTCGTTATTATGAAAAAAAAAATCGTACAAATAGTACAAAGTTGATTTTGAAAATTCTCTTCAGTTCTTACCACATCATTGATCGTGATTGATGTTTCTGCTATATTTGTGCTAATGATAATTTTGCGCATTCCATCAGGCAATGCATTGAAAACGTTTTCTTCGTTAGTTACATTACTATGAAGTATAAATAATCGATAATTTTCTTTGCCATCGAATCTCGTGTCCAACAAATCATATAATGTTATGATGTCATAGTACCCTGGCAGAAAAATTAGAATGCTGCCATCGATAGCAGTGTTACTGTGAATATAATCCACTACATGGCCCAATAACTCGAAGTCAATTATGTCGTCGTTGAGTGTACAATTGTAGGCGAGGAGTAAATTTTCTTTTTCATCTTCACAGTGCATTGAATTTTTCATATAATTTTCCATCTCATCGGTTTTGTAACCGGTTTGGTATAAAATTTCAGCAAGGTAATAACAATCAACTTCAAACAAACGACCGGGAACCTCTATTTTCGGACAGTCGTCAAAATATGTACAAAATTGATCAGCATCTAAAGTTGCAGACATCAAGATGACTTTAAAGTTACCATTTTCTTTCATTTCTCTTTTTATCGCGATCAAAAGTAGATCGGTGTTGATCTCTCTTTCGTGAATTTCGTCCAATATTAAATGGGTTATGTTTTTAAATGCATCACCTCTTTTGGCACCAATTATACATTGCATTGAATAACCACTAGTTGTTAAAATAAGATTTGTCTCTGGTTTTCGGCAATAGTCCAAACGAATTTGATGGCCTACTGAATTACCATGTTCATGGCCTCTTTCTTCTGAGATGCGTTTCGCCACAGATGTGGCAGCAATACGTCGGGGCTGTGTCAAGATGATACGACATAATGCACCATTTCTCGTTGCTTCTTCCATAATAAATTGCGGTACTTGTGTTGACTTTCCTGAACCTGAACAATGCATTGAATACGATCAAATATATGTTAAAAATAAAAAGTACAAAAAAGCTATAAACAATTGCCGATAAATTACCTGTTTCACCCGAAATAACGATGACTCTATTTCGATCAATAGATGATAAAATTTCTCTGCGATAATCCATAATTGGTAATGATTGACACAATTTCTCAATTTTTGAATTTTTATTGGGCGGTGGTGGTATCGTTGGTAAGGTTTCAATGCGATGATGTATAAATGTTGGCGTAACGTTTTCGACCATTTCATTATTGCGAACATCGTCCATAAAATTGGCTCTCACTAAATTATCATATGTGATTTCCATCAATTTAATTTGTGAAATATCTGCGCCTTCCATTTCACCACCTGTCGCCTCTTCATCAATTGAAGACCAATGATCCTTCAATTCGTTATCATGTTCTTGTGCTGCTGGTAAATTAACGCGTTGTGCTTGGAATGAAGATAATGGCTTCGGGTCTTCAAATTTAAATAATTTTTTGTCGAACTTTATAATTTTCAACGAAGATGATGGTTCATTACCGTCAATGCATTGATCTACGAATGATTTCGTTTCATTTTTAGATACATCGATTCCAAAATATCCAACGGAGCCGTTGAAACGGTTTAAGTCAATAAAACCATCACGAGTTGCAAAAATATTCAGTGCACTGTAAAAACTGGGGCCCTTTGGTTTGATTGCCAAAAGCATTACCATATTTTTAGAATATTCCGATGGTATTTCTACACGTCCATTTCTAAAAATGAGGGTTTTTGTTTGTTTGAATACTAATACACCATGCATGGGCGTGATGACTAAACGAAACCGTATACGGTAAACATTGGTTTTGTCTAATATCGCGATTAAAATGCTACAGCGCTTGAATGTAGTTTGTTTGATTGTAATGCAATTTTTAGAATCTTCGAGGCCGTTGAATGTTATTATGGTTTCAGCTGGCGATGAAATTAAATTTACTTTGTCATTGAACTTTTGGAATTTCAAATCATTATCCAAATACATTATTTCTCCATCATCAATGGAATAAACCATTTGAAATAGCGTCAGTGCATTGATAGCTAACAAATTATGTCGGATTGTGCTTATTTTGTTGATGGGCATACATGGATTGTCGTGTTTTGAACCATCAAGTGATATAATCAAGCAATTACTGCAGTGCCTCGTAAAAGAAGGCAAATCACAGTCTTCCGTGTTGTGCCTTTGATTGCAATTCATACAAATACTTGGTTCTTGCAATGCAGTTTGGCTGTTGTTCAAACGATTCAATGATTCCGTCGGTGCGATTTTCCAGCCGTCACCGGCTTTCCACTGTGTGGATTCAATCTGGCCATTGCATTGTGTTTGTAGTTCTAGATTTCTCGAATTGGGGTCGATGCCTAAAATTAATACCGTATTCATTTTAAAGCGATCTTCAAGCGAGAATGTACCCTCTGTTCCATTGAGTGAAAGACAGCATTTTATCAATTCGATACCATTTGACCCAACATCGATACGTAGACCAATTTCTGGACGTTTTTTGTTATGCAAAACTGCGATGTACAATGTGAATCGAAAATTTTTTATCGATTCATAGCTTAAAATATTGTATATGGCGTTCGTTTCTAAAACGAACACACCACCTGTCGCGGGACATAATAGTTTATTTTTGCTAATCAATGCATTGAATTTTCCATCTTGAAAATATAATAAGTCGGCTCCATTCGATTGTTCGTCGTTTTTTAATCTCAATTTGAACCTTGATATCGCCTTTTTGCAGCGCACATTCAATCGATATCCAGAAACGCCAGAAACCAATGAATCAATACATACGTGTTGGTTATTCAATACCATTGACTTGCAATCACAACATCGACGAACAGTTTCGGGAAAAACGCAATTTCCTTCTGCGTGATCAGCATGACACGCTGTACATCTCTTCATCTAGAAATTTCATGTCCGGAAATGTCAATGTATGAAATAAAAAGTTAAAAAGAATAAAAAGTGAAAACCTACCTTGAAATCCATTGAATCACGTGAAATACGGTGAACTCGCTTGAATGCGCTTAAATACAATGAGACGCAATGTGGCTTCTGGATTTTGAGGTTATGTATTTTATAATCGTTTGCTGTCGTCGCTGTATAATATATGCGAGTATATGTACAATCGATTTGGCTATGAAACCAAATATCAAAATGTTTTATTTGCTGATGTTTATAAACGTTTATTGACACACAAAAACACTGATTTCTTCAAAAATCTTTCGAATTAGATAGAATCGGATAGAATAATTGACGATCAACGAAGATAACTACAATGCACTGATACTCCACACGTTTGTATACATTTTAATGTGCTTTACCATTCACCATCACTCACCGAATATGACAAACGTTGGCAACTGTCAAAACTATCAAGTTGGTTGAGTGCGTTTTGCCAATAGGGACGCTAGTACGGCTGGCGACCGATACGAGCGCCCTATTCAATATCTGTTACTGCCATGATACGGGGGGATCACGAAAATAAACAATTCTTGGGGGGTCAATCCGGATTTCAAATTTTTTTTATTGCAAATTGAATTGAATGTCAACCCCCCCTGATGTCAAACAATGAAAAAAGATTCATAACATACAACACCATCTCTTGGTATGCCACATATCTGTTTTTTTCTCCACAATGTGGAGAAAGTGTTTACGTATACGTATACGTTGACATTAATAATCTGTCAAAACCGTAAACACATTATTTTCATAACGCAATTTTGCGAGAGTTCCTATTAGTTGAAAAAAATTAAATTTTTGTGTGCAAACTGTAAGTTATTTTGTGATTTTATTGTGTTTAGATTGAATACGATTTCATAAATTTTTGAAAAGTGATTTTACAGTAACAAGAAATGTAAAGCAGAGAGAAAAAAACCAATAAATGAGTTTAGAACGTTTAGAATCATATGCACATTTTCGTGATATTCTAACCTCAATCGCTCTTTACTCTCAGTTTTACATTCTTTATATCAACAATTATTTTATAATTTAAACAGGAAACGCAAAATGGTTTAGTGCGATGTATGCCAGCAGAATATTTCGGGAAACATTTACAAGCACAAAAGAGTTGAGCACAGTTGGGATCGAGGTGGTATTAAATTGATTAAACAGGAAGATAAAACTCTGATCGAAGCTATACAAAACGAAAAAACATTCGTTGGACCTTCGCTGTTATATTTGAAACGTCTCGCAAATTATGCGGTAACACAAAATTTTCAAGCCACATTTTTTGGAGTCGACTCACCAAAACCAGAACTTGTCATTACAACGGGTACAATTGCAGAGAATGAAAGAAATTTGGCTGAAATTGTGGATCAACTCTATGGCCAAATCGGTCAATGAACTACGATCGCTATTCAATATTTAGTTTATGAATATGTTCATTTTTTCACGCAAAATGCGACCAATTACATTTATAATTAAATACCATGAATAAATATTAATTTTTTATGTAAAAAATGGAAACAAATCTCTTTTCATTTGTTCGCTTTCAAGCGGGTTGAAATATTCATTGAATTCACAATTTTTTATATTTTTACAAGCATGGATTTGAAGAACGCCAAATATATGAGAACCATAAATAAATCCAAATGAATAAATCGAAATTCAGCAGTGTTTTAGTAGTATAGTGTTTTTATTTTTGTTTGATATCAATATGTAGCTAAGAGACATTTTCCAATCATTTATATTTATTTAATTAAACATAAAAGTAAGTAATTTACGCATATTTTGCGAGAGAACTAATGCTCAGGTGTATCAACATCAGACATCTCCGGAATTGTATTAAAAACAGAGATTGAACGACGGCGACCCGCAATACGAAATGGAACATTTCTTGTTCGTAAAAATGGATCGAATTCTAATGACCGACCAAATGATCCAAAAGCTGCATTGTTGGTGCTTGTTGAAGAAGATTTATTATTTGAATCGATCAAACCAATATCATTAATGGCACCTGCAAAACAAAAAATTAAAACTATGTATTAGATATCTATTAAACGACCTAATATAAACTATTTTAACCTATATTCATGGAAATACAAACTTTCAACAGTAAATTCACCAGAAACGCAAGAAACATTGTCAGTTTTGGCTATAGCATCATCAACACCGTTTTTAGCGGACATCATTTCTCCTTTAGAGCCATTGTCACTAGCCTCATCAGCTGTGGGAGTCGAAATCATATTTAGATCAATAGAGTTGGTAGGTGGCAATTCTGTGTGACCACTATTCACGCTTTCAATAGCGATACCAGCAGTCTGATCTTGAGTTTCGCCTGTTTTGCCTAACAAATATTTGAAATAATATTTATTAGAAATAATATGAAGCATAAAATATGTGTTAATATGCTGTCTACCATGAATGGAGAAAGGCAAGTCGTTAGTACGCCGGATTAGATCAAAGCAATGAGAACGACCAACAGAGTCAGCCACCGATTCATCAGAATTATCGCCGGCAACATTCTTTACAGCATCTTCAATAATTTGACTAATCGCAATCTGATCTTGAATTATAGTTGATTGGTTATCGCTAATTTCAGACAATACCGGTAAACCAGAATTTGTTTCGCCATTTGCAGTGAGAGAACAACCTATATATGGAAATATGAATTAATAGTATATAGATTATCCATTCGTAATAAAAGAAACGCTCAATTTAGCGAATTTAGCTACACCTAATAATTTTTTTTCACTTACCACCAAAGAGGCCATAGATGTCAGTGAAATCTTCGTCGAATTGTTTATTAGCCACCTCAATTGAACGATCTAGTTCATCGCAGTACTTGCGTACATCAACTAAAGTGCTGTTTCCATCATTTCCGCCTTTTATTTCGTGACAATTTTCGATTTCAAAGCTGTCATCACTTGTTTCGTTTACTTGTTGCGTGGCGCTTTGAACATCTTAAACAATTGAATCGAATTAATATTTTCAACATTTATGCGCATAATTTTACTGCATTTACATGAGGTCGCACATCATCTGAGTCATTTGAATACATAAAAATTCGTGGATCCCATTCATCCCATTCATCTTGATCTTGTTGGCCATGAATTGATGTGCCATCATTATCTTCAGTGAAATTTGTAGCCAGTTTCTGCGGTTCAATCGATTCAGCCAATTCAGTGGAATTTATAACGCTTTCTATAGCGGCACCTGCAAAACAAAAAACTAAAACTATGTATTAGCTATCTATTAAACGACCTAATCTAAACTATTTTAACCTATATTCATTGGAAATACAAACTTTCAACAGTAAATTCACCAGAAACACTGCCAGTATCGGCTACAGCATCATCAACACCGTTTTTAGCGGACATAATTTCTTCTGAAGAACCATTGCCACTAGAGTTGCTTGGTGGCAATCGTGGCGATTCCGTGTGATCAAACGACGGTGAAATATCGGCAGATGTTTACGCATTCCAAGATATTTTTCGGGGGTATTGATCGCTGGTGGAGCGAAGGGATTTCTTTTCAGAAAATTGTCAGGCGCACGAACTGCGTTTACTGTATGAATATGAGCTGCGTTATCAATTTGACCGATTTGGCCATAGAGTTGATCCACA